CGGTGCAAAACCCGCACAAAATTGTCTATTCGCGTTTGATAAGTGATGCGCTTTATAGTACACAACGTCGCCGACCGCGTATTTTGTTTTGATATGAACGGGCGGCGGTGTTATTTTTGTGCTAGTGATTTGTCGTTCGCGTTCTAACCGGTCGTTATTGATAGTAGCAGGTGCTACCGGTTGTACTCGCTGTAGTAGCCAATCACCCGGTTTCTTACCTTCTCTACCTAATACGAGTACGGACGGTGCGTATCCGGTAGTCTCGTTGCGCCTATTGCGTAGAGCGAACAACAAAGGTGGCAATTTTGTATCCCAAGATGTATGACTCGACTCTGTTAATAAAGCGCGAAGTCCTTTTTTTAACTCTTGGTTCTTTCGTTCTACTGGGTTAGCCCGTGGGTGGTATATCGGTGTAATCCAGGCCTCTGCCCCCCACCGATTTATCGCGTCGATCATTTCTTTGGACACGAGCGCACAGCCGTTGTCGCTTAAAATTACTTAAAATAACCGTAGCGTGAAAAGAACTCCCTTTCTAGCGCGTCTACAATCGTTTTCGTTGTAGGTGCGCCTATGGGGTACGCTTCGGTCCACCTGCTGAAGCAGTCAGTTACCACTAATAGGTTCGTCTTGCCCCTTGGTGTTCTAGGGTACGNTCCTGCTGAAACAGTCAGTTACTACTAATAGGTTCGTCTTGCCCCTTGGTGTTCTAGGGTACGGTCCCATCAGGTCGATACTGATTACTTCCCACGGCTGTCTGGGTTGGCGCTTGACCATCGGGTCTTCGGGGCGCCTGTTTAAGGGCTTAGTGCACGCGCAAATGTGACACGATTTTACGTACATGTGCACGGCGTTTCTTAACCCTTTACAGTAGAACCGTTGCTTGACCGCTCGGTGTGTTTCTCTCCATCCGGGGTGACATGATAGGGGATCGTCGTGGTACCGCCAAATTATATGTTGTACTTTGTTGGTGGGGACGACTATCGGTGCGTCAGCGCCTATACGAATACGTAAAACACCGTCCAACAAAAAAAATTTGTCCTTATTTTTCGCGGCCGGTTTTTCGTTCGCTATCGTAAGTTGCGCGTTTAAATTTTTTATGACCGAAGAGAGGAACTGGTCGTTGTTTTGCCACTCTCGTACTTCCCCCCCGTGAACGGTCGGTCGCAGATCGCGTCGTTTGCCTCGGTAATGGAGTAAATATTATCGAGAGTGGCGGTGGTTGTGGGCGGACTAGACATTGGCGCGCCTAACAAATTGTCGTCCAGGGCGTCTTCGTCAACAGGGGGTCCGTCAATTGGGTGACGTGACAACATGTCGGGTGCTTCGTTGTGTTTGCCCGGTACGTGTGTCGTGATGAAATTTTGGTTAACCAGGTGTAGCGCCCAGCGGGTCAACTTACTGTTTGTTCCCTTTGCTTTGTGCAGATAAGTTAGCGCTGAATTATCTGTGTATAACTCGAAAGCGGCATACTCTAAGTATGACCTAAATTTATCGGTTGCCCATATGATCGCTAGGCATTCGCGCTCGACAGCGGCATAACGTTTTTGTGTATCCGACAGCTTTTTACTCGCGTAAGCGACGATATCCTTTTCCCCCGGTTTTTGACCGTGTTGAAATAATACCGCCCCTATGCCTAGTTCACTAGCGTCGGTTTGTAGGCAAAAGATCCTTGTGTAGTCGGGGGAGGAAAGGCGTGGTGAATCGCATATTGCCCATTTGATGTGCTCGAAAGCGCGTTGTTGTGGTTGAGACCACGACCACTTCTCCCCTTCCTTTAAAAGGTGGGTGAGGGGATCGATGCTGTCAGCATAATTGTTGACAAACTGACTATACCAGTTGCATACCCCTAAAAATTTTCGTATATCCCTTACATTGCGTGGGACTGGAATATCGCGTATAGACTGTAATTTTTCCGGCTCTTTGTCTATGCCTAACCCATGCACCCGGTGTCCCAAAAAAGAAATTTCAGAATACCCGATCTTACACTTTTTAGTGTGGCTTGTTAGGCCATGACGCATTAGGCGTTCTAGAACTTTGCTAAGGTGGTCTAGATGTGTTTCGACACTGTCCGAAAAAATTAAAATATCGTCCAGATAGACTTGAACGAAGTCATCGATGTACCCCCTAAGTACTTCGTTCATTAAGCGTACGAAGGTCATGGGTGCATTCTTAAGTCCGAACGGAAGTACACGAAACTGAAATAAACCCTATTTTGTTCTGAACGCGGTGTATTCGCGTACGTTTTGCTGTAAAGAGCATTGCCAGTAACCCGATTTTAAATCGAGTGACGTGAAAACTTTCGCCCCCCTCATGCTTCTAATCATTTCGTTTAGATTAGGCATGGGATACGCGTCTGATACGGTCACATCGTTAAGTCGCCTATAGTCGACACATAAGCGATATGAGCCGTCTTTTTTCTTGGCCAGCACGACTGGTGCTGACCAAGGAGAAGTGCTGGGTTCTATCAGCCTTTGTGATTCCATGTCGCTTACCATTTCGTCTATCGCTTGTTGTTTGTGCAGCGGGTACGGATATGGTTTTTGCGCGATAGGCGTCGGGTCTTTTAGAACGATGTTGTGTTCGATAAACTTTGTGCGACCTACCGTGTCGTTAAAAACTGCAGAATAATTTTTTATCGTGCGCGTTAATAATGCGTGTGTATGTGGGCCGCCTGCTATATCTAGTGTTGAGAGATCTACGTCGGGTAGCGTGTGCTGAGTACTCGCTTTCCAATAAGCTGTAGTGTGTCGCGTCGCGCCCAAGTGAATTGTACATGCAGCGTAGTCCCAGGAGACTTCCTGTTCTGTTAGAAAGTCGTGTCCCAGGAGTACGTCACAGTACAGATTCTCTAAGATAACAGCCGTAAACTTTACTTGTAGATCCGCAATTTTTGTTATAAAAGTGGCTGTGCCGGCCGTGTCTGTTGTGTGGCCGTCAGCTAATCTAACTGGGGGTGTTTGTCCGTTGTGCACAATTCCGAATTTGTGAGCTGTTGCTCGAGTGGTATACGATTTTTGCGTTTGAGAGTCGAGTAAGGCCGTCACAAAGCCGTCAAATTCCAGCTCCACAGCGGGAGTAGTAATTTTACGCGGGCGTGTTTGTGCGGCAATACTCAGGTGGTTAGCGGTTCGAACGGGGAGCGTTGAAACGGTTTGTTCGCAGGCAGTATTAATTGCCATAAGCGGGTAGGCCGTTCCTTCCGTATTCCCCTCCCCCACGGTGCCCAACATATCGTAGGCCTGACTCGCGCTGTAGTCGTTACCTATTACGTCTACGAACGGGTGACCAGTATTTTGAATAATCTTATGGTCCTCATTGTGGTTGAGGGGTGTGGTGGTGGTGAGGTGTGGTGCTACAGCGTGACCACTATAATGTCAGTGGGGCTGTAGGGGTGTTGGCGAAGGTGGTGTGATAGAAGTGTGGTTGATAGTAAGATTATTTAAAATAGAGTCATTTTGTTCGCAGAAAGCGCATCCGTTTTTGCTACCCGAGTTGACTGAACGGGCGGTTTGGTCGGCGCTCTGATTAATATGATAATGTTTTGGGCGGAATTGTGTTTGTGAGCCCGGAGAATGGACTAGTTTCTCCGTGGCTACTGTCCGTTTCCCGGCACTGTGGGTCTGTTAGGACATTCGCTTTGCCAGTGATCGGCTCCGCAAAAGCGACAGGGTCGGGGGGGACGCGGATCGGGCGGTGCGTTTGGCCGAGGTCGCGTTCTTTGCGGTTGTTGCGAGGGTGATATAGCAGCCACGTACGGATTAGTGTTATTGATAAGTCTACCCGTACGTATCGGTCGGTCTAGATCGTTCGCGATTACGCGTAAGTCATCTAAAATACGCGGACATCGCATTCTTACGTTACCGTAATATTCGTTACGTAACAGACTGACTACCCGATTTGCAATGTGCTGCTCAGAGCAACTGGGGCGTTCGCGCATCGCTAGACGTTACTTATTTATGATAAATTCCGTCATGCGCTGATGTGGTCCCTGTTGCGTCGTCATGAGTTCGTTTTTTGTATTGTCGTTTTCTATATTTACGAAAGTAAAACTTGTACTTGGTTCAGGGTCACTTTCCTCAGGAACCTCATCTATTGTTATTTTATTTACATTTCTATTAATTGACCTATTATCATTATGTTGAACATATTTATTATAATTAGGTTTTTTCTCATACTGATTGTTTTTTTGTATATTATTATTGCGATAAAAGGGATTACGACGTTCTTTCGTTCGTTCCTCCTCCATTTTTCCCTGATCCTCTGCTTGTCTGTTTTGACTGACCTGATACATACTTTTCCTATTCGCGTCCTCCCCACCTAACAGCGTTGTAGCTTCTAGAAAAGTCTTTGACGGCATACTCACTAACATAGCCTGTATATAGCCAGGGAAATGACGCGCTATTATAACAATTGCTTTTGCCTCTGTTATTTTTTACTTATATTAAATTAAAATTAATATCAGGCTTTAAGTGAACCATTTATGATTCCTAAATTATGTTAATATATACATAAATGTGAGATTAAACTCTACTTTAGTTTTTATAATTTGCTGATCAAATTATCAAAAGCGTGTTTATCGATATATATTATTTTTAAGTACTAAACTTATACAACTTATGTTTGTCTAATAATATTGATTTATATATACCATAGAATTAATAGTGAAAATCAATAAAAACTAATCGGTTATTTTATTAAACATTTATTTAAAAATTTAAATAAATATATATTATGAATTGCAGCATTTTCATCTTTCTGCAGTTGCTGCTTTTACTGCAGTTGTTGCTGTTGCTGCTTTTGCTGTAGCTGCTGCTTTTTAGGGAGGGCGCTCTGCATTCATGCCATTTATGACCTTTTTTTTGACATTAATTACAAACTGCAAAATAGAAAGTAATTAATACACAAGAATAAGAATTTATACTCTATAGTTCATATATACTATAAGGTTCGATTTATATAAATTATAAATAAATTTATTATTATTATGTACCCGTCGCAAGATAATGTGTCACTGCACAGTAGTATAGATCCGGGAATTGTCTATGATTCAGGGAGTCACCTCTCCCCATCAGTCTTGTATATGGCATCATCGCTCACTCCTCTTTCTCCAAGTTATCATAGATCTCCTTAAATCGAAGAAGATCTAATACTAGACCTGTAAGTATAGTTTTATCACTCGTTTAAATATTTTTCTAATAGCTTAGATCGCACTTAATGGTTTTTTGTAGGACGATGGCATTTAGAGAGGCAAATTATATTTTTTAAACCAAATTCAAATATTTAGTTAACTCACTGTATATATAAATTCACAACAAATGTATTTATACGTAAGGTAAACTATCATAAATAAACGAATATTTCACGGAAACACTACTAATAACTAAACAGTAATAATTAAATTAATTTTAAAATAAAACTATAAATTACTTAATCTATTTTTTTGTGCAAAGAATTTAAATATTTTGTTATTCACCAGGAGTATAATTGTAAACACAAATATAATTTTTAAAGATTTCAGATAAGTAATTTTTTTCTCAATATTATTTTTTTCAAAAAAATTATTATCATTTCAAGTTAGTAAGTATTTTAAGTTAGGTAAGTTGGGGTAAATTATTAATATATATTAGAGTGTCCCTTATTTTGAAAATTTTAGAAATTCTTCGGGCTCACCCCCCAAATTTGTGTGTATACATATAAAAAGTGGTTACAAAAAATTTCAGGCCGATCAGATAAGTTTAACCCGTGCCGACTTGGGGTTGAAAATCGGCCAAATGTAAAATCAGAATGTTATCTATATATTTATAACCAAGTTGGTCATATCAAGCTTCCATATAGCGGTAGAGTTGTAATATGGGCCAATTAGTAAGACCGGAGTCTACCAGTAGTCCACGAACTCGTGTCATCGAGACTGCTGGTCCAGTAACCGGGTATAGGGCAAGTCTCATCATATCAGCGGTTTCACGTGAAACACGGGTACTTTTCGCGACGTGACCAAGAATTCAAGGTTTTCGGGGCGGTTGGCGATTACGCACTTGTGTGTGCTTAGTGTAAAGCCGAGGGTGCTGAGGTGGTGTACGAACGTTTCTAAGTCAGGAGGGCCTAACTCGATAGGTCCCCGCACAAGGAGTCATCTCCTAGGACATACGTCTTATATATCTCATATATCTTGAGCTGAGCTAATTATGATGTGATTAATCACGGATCCAATTAGTTGTGTGAATTAGCTACCAGATGGGATGCCGAATCGTTTGAGCCATATACGACAATCGGTCATTACAATGGACCTGTTGATAAAATGCTCACTAGAATATTGAAATCTGAAGATCTGTTCAGCTTTGGTAAAGTTAATGTTCTCTGAGAGAACGTCAAACGCAGCTCTAATCAGCCAGGGTTGCCGCCTGGAAGTGTCACTGGAACTGATGTCGAGACCGACAACATAGCGTAATTCCTCATCGGTTGTGAGAGTGGTTTGGATAATTGTTGGGAGCCTACGGTACATATTGACACCAATGGGCATTGGGTGTCCTTTCTTTTGGTAGGCGTTGATCAATTGCGAGGCGGTAATTCCTTAAAGGATTACGTTTTCAAACGTTTTTCCCCAGACGTGACGAATCTTTGGTGACTCAAAGGTCCCAAGTTGCGTGCGTGTCCATATAAGATCCGGTATCTGAATGGGCGGTCTGTCTTACCATCAATTGTCTCAAGCCACCAGTATAGTGATGAAACGGCACGTGTGATTGCCTTTTTCTGGTTGCCTGAATCTCTTTTCTTACCTACATAGCCCCATCCTGCGGATGAGCTCGAGATAAACGGAACTGATATTAAATGGTTCCAAGAGATCGCGTCCACTTTCTTTTTGAGGCGAAAAGCATTTCGTGTTGCGTCGATTGCTCTATCTAAGAGATAGGATCAATTGGACGAGGGAGTAGTGGTTTGTCATACTTCCAGAGGTTGGAGTAGTGACCTTCGAGTGTATAGAATGATCTGGTATACATACCAAACTCTTCTACAACATCAGGAGCATTGCCAATAACCCGACTTATAACTGCGTCAGATCTGGTTTGCGGATCGTGTGTCTTGCGCATGATTTCCAGCAAGCGGTTGTACGTTTCTTAGTGCCTAAGTGTATTGTTCCTGCTGATTAGTCCCAGACGACTTTCTGATCAATCAGAAAATCATGGCCCAGTAATACATCGCAATACAGGTCGTCTAAAATAACCGCTGAAAAACGCACTTCTAAATCCGCTATTTTGACTGTAAACGTGGAGGTACCGTTTGTCATGGCGGTGTGTCCGTCCGCTAGACTGACCGCGTCAGTGTGTCCTTTATAAACAGTTCCGTATTTATAAGCAATTACCGGTTTTACATACGATTTATGCGCCCGTGAGTCGAGTAAAGCTGTGACGAAGCCAGTTTCGAATTCTAACTCGACTGTTGGAGTAGTAATTCTACGCGGGCATTTCTGTTGGCCATTACTCGGGTGGTTTACGGTCCGAACAGAGGGCAGCTGGTTCTTAACCGCGACGTCGGTTTGCCCACTGACAGTGTTAACTGCCATTAGTGGACTCTTCCCTAATTGACTGACATCTACCCCCTCCCCCACTGTGCCCGAAAGAATTTCGAACATTTGACTCGCGCTTTGGTCGTTCGTGTAGGCAGTGTGTTCGAACTCCGATACCCTGATTACATCCGAATTTACTGTGGCGTCCCCTCCATTCCGATAAGAGGGGTGCAGTGCCGAAAAAGTGCCAAGATCGTTGGNGTTATCTATATATTTATAACCAAGTTGGTCATATCAAGCTTCCATATAGCGGTAGAGTTGTAATATGGGCCAATTAGTAAGACCGGAGTCTACCAGTAGTCCACGAACTCGTGTCATCGAGACTGCTGGTCCAGTAACCGGGTATAGGGCAAGTCTCATCATATCAGCGGTTTCACGTGAAACACGGGTACTTTTCGCGACGTGACCAAGAATTCAAGGTTTTCGGGGCGGTTGGCGATTACGCACTTGTGTGTGCTTAGTGTAAAGCCGAGGGTGCCGAGGTGGTGTACGAACGTTTCTAAGTCAGGAGGGCCTAACTCGATAGGTCCCCGCACAAGGAGTCATCTCCTAGGACATACGTCTTATATATCTCATATATCTTGAGCTGAGCTAATTATGATGTGATTAATCACGGATCCAATTAGTTGTGTGAATTAGCTACCAGATGGGATGCCGAATCGTTTGAGCCATATACGACAATCGGTCATTACAATGGACCTGTTGATAAAATGCTCACTAGAATATTGAAATCTGAAGATCTNGACCGCGTCAGTGTGTCCTTTATAAACAGTTCCGTATTTATAAGCAATTACCGGTTTTACATACGATTTATGCGCCCGTGAGTCGAGTAAAGCTGTGACGAAGCCAGTTTCGAATTCTAACTCGACTGTTGGAGTAGTAATTCTACACGGGCATTTCTGTTGGCCATTACTCGGGTGGTTTACGGTCCGAACAGAGGGCAGCTGGTTCTTAACCGCGACGTCGGTTTGCCCACTGACAGTGTTAACTGCCATTAGTGGACTCTTCCCTAATTGACTGACATCTACCCCCTCCCCCACTGTGCCCNCAAACGTTTTTCCCCAGACGTGACGAATCTTTGGTGACTCAAAGGTCCCAAGTTGCGTGCGTGTCCATATAAGATCCGGTATCTGAATGGGCGGTCTGTCTTACCATCAATTGTCTCAAGCCACCAGTATAGTGATGAAACGGCACGTGTGATTGCCTTTTTCTGGTTGCCTGAATCTCTTTTCTTACCTACATAGCCCCATCCTGCGGATGAGCTCGAGATAAACGGAACTGATTTTAAATGGTTCCAAGAGATCGCGTCCACTTTCTTTTTGAGGCGAAAAGCATTTCGTGTTGCGTCGATTGCTCTATCTAAGAGATAGGATCAATTGGACGAGGGAGTAGTGGTTTGTCATACTTCCAGAGGTTGGAGTAGTGACCTTCGAGTGTATAGAATGATCTGGTATACATACCAAACTCTTCTACAACATCAGGAGCATTGCCAATAACCCGACTTATAACTGCGTCAGATCTGGTTTGCGGATCGTGTGTCTTGCGCATGATTTCCAGCAAGCGGTTGTACGTTTCTTAGTGCCTAAGTGTATTGTTCCTGCTGATTAGTCCCAGACGACTTTCTGATCAATCAGAAAATCATGGCCCAGTAATACATCGCAATACAGGTCGTCTAAAATAACCGCTGAAAAACGCACTTCTAAATCCGCTATTTTGACTGTAAACGTGGAGGTACCGTTTGTCATGGCGGTGTGTCCGTCCGCTAGACTGACCGCGTCAGTGTGTCCTTTATAAACAGTTCCGTATTTATAAGCAATTACCGGTTTTACATACGATTTATGCGCCCGTGAGTCGAGTAAAGCTGTGACGAAGCCAGTTTCGAATTCTAACTCGACTGTTGGAGTAGTAATTCTACGCGGGCATTTCTGTTGGCCATTACTCGGGTGGTTTACGGTCCGAACAGAGGGCAGCTGGTTCTTAACCGCGACGTCGGTTTGCCCACTGACAGTGTTAACTGCCATTAGTGGACTCTTCCCTAATTGACTGACATCTACCCCCTCCCCCACTGTGCCCGAAAGAATTTCGAACATTTGACTCGCGCTTTGGTCGTTCGTGTAGGCAGTGTGTTCGAACTCCGATNTTTCAGCTTTGGTATAGTTAATGTTCTCTGAGAGAACGTCAAACGCAGCTCTAATCAGCCAGGGTTGCCGCCTGGAAGTGTCAAAGGAACTGATGTCGAGACCGACAACATAGCGTAATTCCTCATCGGTTGTGAGAGTGGTTTGGATAATTGTTGGGAGCCTACGGTACATATTGACACCAATGGGCATTGGGTGTCCTTTCTTTTGGTAGGCGTTGATCAATTGCGAGGCGGTAATTCCTTAAAGGATTACGTTTTTAAACGTTTTTCCCCAGACGTGACGAATCTTTGGTGACTCAAAGGTCCCAAGTTGCGTGCGTGTCCATGTAAGATCCGGTATCTGAATGGGCGGTCTGTCTTACCATCAATTGTCTCAAGCCACCAGTATAGTGATGAAACGGCACGTGTGATTGCCTTTTTCTGGTTGCCTGAATCTCTTTTCTTACCTACATAGCCCCATCCTGCGGATGAGCTCGAGATAAACGGAACTGATATTAAATGGTTCCAAGAGATCGCGTCCACTTTCTTTTTGAGGCGAAAAGCATTTCGTGTTGCGTCGATTGCTCTATCTAAGAGATAGGATCAATTGGACGAGGGAGTAGTGGTTTGTCATACTTCCAGAGGT